GAATTCCCTCCCTAACGGTGAAGTGGGTGCAGCAGTTCAAGACAGTAGCTCACTACCACTTTCTCCACAGCAATTATGGCTTAGCCAGTGATGCCCAGATCTTGTGAATGAATAACAAAATCTTTGGAAAAGACTGCGTAGGGAAGTAATAGAAGCAGATAGTGCAGACTCATTCAAATGCCACTTTTTATTTATTCATTCACAGAGTGTGGGTGTTGCTGGCTAGGCCAGCGTGTATTGCCCAGAGGGCAGTTCACAATCAACCACATTGTTGTGGGTCTGGAGTCATATGGCCAGGTAAGGATGGCAGATTTCTTCCCCTAAAGGACATTGGTGAACCAGATAGTTTTTTCTGACAATCAACAATCAGTTTCATGCTCATCATTAGATTCTCAATTCCAGAGTTTTGTTAAATTCAAGTTCTCTCATCAGCTACAGTGGTATTCAAACCTGGGTCCCCGAACATTAACTGGATCCCTGGATTAATAGTTTAGTGACAATACCACGAGGCCATCACCTCTCCTTAAATGCCAATTAAGTAATAATCAAGAAAATAATATTTTGGGATAAAGTAAGATAGGAGGGGAGAGAGAGTGAGACTGAAAGAGAGAGGAACGGAGGTTGAAAAGGCAGGGTGGAGAGAGAGAGTGAGAGAGTGAGACTGCAAGGGTATAGAGACAGAGAGAAAAGAAAGAGGCGATGGACCCTGCAAGTACAGGGTGAGAGAGGGGGAGGTTGCAAGGGCGATGGTAAGGGAAGGGAGGGCTGCAAGGAAGACAGAACTGTTTGAAATCTGTCAACAAAGGAACAATTTGCTAACCAGAGCAAGAACATTTGAAATCACTGAGACAAAGAATTCCTTACAAATAAATGTGAATGCTTTAACTTTAACTCGTGTTGGTCTGCTATGTAAGCTCTGACAAGTTTAGTAAGTTTGGGAAGGAACGGGGGATTTTGAACTTTTTTTTTCAAACTTTCCTATCAATGACAGTTTTCCTCATTTGTTTCCACTATTTGTGTAAAGATGGACAGCTATGTTTAGTCAATAATTCCATTATTGTTGTATGAAAATGACTCCAAGTGTGGACAGTGAACTCGATGGACCTCAAACTTTGTTCATCCGGTAAACCCTGTGCATATACTGAATGCAACTTAGTTTAAATTTGTCAAATACTTCTTTAGAAAAATTATGTTCAGAAGCAAAATTACAATGTTATTGAAATTGTGCACAGCTTTGTGCTTGCCGAGAGATAAAATTCTGCATGTCCCATAATGTGTCTCAGAGAAGGGCAATTTTGGTTTAACAGTTGATTTAATTAATACATGAGAAAATGGCATGGCCAACAACATTTTTTGCTAATCATTTTACCTTTATTAAAGATAAAACTTTAAAATAAAGAACATAGGTCTCATGCAGTGCGTAACTGCATTGGACAGAGGTGCAGGAGTGTGTGTCTGGAACAGTTCCTTGTAAGAATCATATTTTGTGACTTCTATTATATCAAATAAACATATCCAAAATTTATCACAGTATCAACATACACAGCAAGAAAGATATTCTTAGTTGCAATAGTGACTGTATGCAACGAAGGGCCATTTGACCAAACCGGGCCTATTCTGCTAACAGGACGACTGAACAAACAATAGTTCCCCTTCCTTCAAGCTTGAACAGGAGCCTTTTTCAAACAGTCTGGAGTGCAACTGGAGTCTCACCAGATTATGCAACCCTATTTATTCAATCTAACTAAAGCCTAGAGATAAATGGCACAGACAGACATAATCTCAGAATCTTTAATAATGTACCTCTATTGCTACTGTACGGAGAAACAGTCAGCAAAAAGAAAAAAAAGTCAGTTAGATTTTAAGTGTCAGAAAGTAAGCCTTTAATTCAATGGAAAGAATATCGATTCAAACTTTTCCCATTAAGTGGAATGTAGCAAGTCAGAGAGCCAACCTTGTCAGAGTAATAAAAGTCAAAGGAACACATACAGTTACAAAGCACACATGGCCCAATGCCCAGAGGAATGTTAAAATGAGGAAAGCCTTGTATTATACATTTGATTTTCTAAAAGGAGAAAACTGGCTTTCTGTTAACATTATGCCTTTCTTTCTCCTTGTTTCCCTATTCCACAGCTCATTCACTAACATCACCCTCAGTCCAACGCATATTAAACAACTAGGGTATCTCTCCCTGGTCTTTCCTGCCGGAAAGTAGCCTACAGCTCTCCAAATGATGCAATAACACCAATGAGATAGCGATGCAATTTAGAAAATCAGTGTGCTTCCAGCCAACAGAGTAACTCACATCTTATCAATGAGTTGGATGCAAATCGATGCCCCAGAGGTGAACAGTAACATTGTTCAGTCTACTGACTTTTTAATTTGCAGATTTTCAAAGCCAATGGTAAAAATGAAAGCTACAGGAAAATCAACACTCTATTAGCACCGGGGGAGCGAGGTCTTGTAACGGGGAAAGGAAGGTTTTGCAAGTATCAGGCACTGAGAGTTTAGTCATTCAGTTTTTCTGTAAAGTCTTTACTCAAAATGATTAAATAGATGTAGTTATTTAACAATCGCTGTCCTGGACAGTGGTTATTAAGTATGTGCCCTTCTGCAACATCAGAAAATATAGAATACACAGTTTCAAATTAACATTGAATAAAGTCTTCCAGTGACTGTAAAGTTACTTGCATGTTGAATGCATCTTTAGCTTTAGAAGCAGCAGAATAATCACCATATGAAGCGATCAACCAAATACCCTACTTACCTGTACCAGAGGAAAATCCAGGACAGTTAAAATTGTAATTCTTTATCTCACTGTACCATCTTTCAGACACCTCCTTACCTGCAGGAAGGAATAAAGAGAAATGTTTCATTGTGTTTCAATTATGTTTGATTGAGAAAGGACTTTTGGAGAACAGAGAGAGAATTAAAGAACATTGCTACATACAACTCTACAAAGGCATGTATGATAGGAATATCCTCTTGAAATTGGCTTATATTGGAGAATTAAGTTCTTTTCTAATTTGTATTAATGGACAAAGGTACAGCTAATGTGTTAGGTTTTACAGTACTTTATTTTTCAAGGCTCATAGTTGATTGTTCATAACTAGAGCGAGAAAAAAGTCACATTCACCACATTTGAATGTGCAGGTCCTGAACATAAAATATTAGCACAGATTTTCATTCCCAAGTCAGACAACAGCAGGACTCCTAGCCTTATGCGCATGTCTTGAGAGAAATTCATTACAACAGCAGAGTCTTCACTCCACGGACAGAGAAGGGCTATACACAGGTATGAGCATGAAGTTAGGCTCACCGCCACTAAATGCAAATCAGAGGCCTGTCAGAGCAGGCAATTTAAAAAAGTCTACTTTGGTTATCTGGGTCTTTATCCTAGCTGTTTTGTCAAATATTAGGCCCCCTTATCCAGACAACCTCTCAACCCACCTCCTCCACCTCTATCCAAGATAACATATGCCCCTTATTCACCTGCTGGCCCTTCGTATGCTCCATGCCAAAACACAACCCCCTGCCAACTCCCAATGTCAACACATATCCTCCATTCTAGCTCATGTCCCACCAGCCTATTCCATGACAACGTAATCCCAATTCATGTCAACCCACCCAACACCCTTTCCCCGGACGTATTTCATGCCAAATCGCCCAGAGTTCATCATGGGCAAACTTCATCAGCCATATTGAAATTAAATAAAGTTCTAAGTATTTATTACAGTGTGTGTTTTACTAAAGAGACTTCCCATTCATGCAAGTTCATTCAAATCATTTAATCCCTTCGAGTATTCCTTATAAAAACAAACAGACTTTCGGTGATAACCCCACAAAGGCAGGAAATTAGTTAATGACCTCTTTGACCTGTAAAATCAGGACCCCTAATCAGAAAAGAAGTTTGTGTAAAAGAAATGGCCAAGTGAAGAAGGGTCCCGACCCGAAACGTCAGCTTTCCTGCTCCTCTGATGCTGCCTGGCCTGCTGTGTTCCTCCAGCTTTACTCTGTGTTATCTCTGACTCCAGCATCTGCAGTTCTTATTATCTCCAAGTGAAATAAAGATAGCCAATGAGGTGCTAACAGTACTATTGCAATTGCTGGAAGACTTCTATCAACTCTCACTGACAAGTCATTTTTCTTAGTTTTAAAAGCCTAGAGATTTAAGTAACTTTGTAGCTGGACAGTTCAACAGATCTTATCTACCTTTCAAGAGTATTTACATATGGACTAAAAATGTGCGACTTCCACACTTTGAGTTAAGGCCCTTTCTACAACAAAAATGGACTGAATTGAAATGGACAGCTGTGTTCAGCTTGCTTCCCACCAACCTCTTGTGTTGTTTAAGCCCGCCCCCTTTCTCCTACAGGTGAAAAGGGTCATGTTGGAATTGGTGGTGAAACTATG